TTCTGACATTCACCTTGAATGTTCTATTCCTTCCCTGTTCTGACTCCATAATCAACTTCTGATTACAGTCATACAGCTTCAGAAGATTGTCCTTCATGGTAACTGAGAAACCTTTCTCAATTAATTGTCCCACACTCATCAGATTGCTTCTGATGCCAGGTACATACCACACATTCTGAATCAATGCTATTTTCCCATTGTTCAGAGTCACTCCGACATTTCGCATACCTTCTGCATTAAGATATTTGTCATCAGCACATCTGATCTTTGTTCTCTTTTCAGAGTCAAAGTCAACCAGCCATTTCTTGTTTCCAGTAAGATGATTTGAACAGCCAGTGTCCATATACCACCAGTCTGTCAGATCCATATTATCAGATTCAGAGGCCATCAATAGCACAGATTCGTCATCAGAACTTCTGGCTATATTTGCTTCTTCTAATTTCTTCTCCTTGTTTGACCAAAAATCTCTAGCAAAGTGACCAAACTTCTTACAACAGTAACATTGGATCTTCTTCTTGTCATACTTCTCTTTTCCCTTATGAGGATTCTTTTGTTTATCAGAGGTTGAGCTTTCTGACTTCTGACCACCATCAGATCTTCTCCTGGCTTCTGACTGCTTCTGATACCTCCTATCAGAAGTTGCTTTCAGAGCCTGCTGCTCTACTTCCCTTTCAGAAGTTCTTTCAGTCAAACGCAACTCTTGCGCTTCTAAACTGCTCTGCAACTCTTCAATTCTCATGGTACTCAGATCTTTGGAATGTTCTATTGCTACCACAATGTAATCAAATTGAGGAGTAAGGGATCTCAATACTTTCTCCATTATTGTTTCTTCTGAAAGAGTTTCTCCACACGCCTTCATCTCATTAGTGATCAGAATCACTCTGGAGATGTATTCAGAAACTTTCTCATTATTCTTCATGTTGAGATTCTCATATTGCTTTCTCAAGGACTGAAGCTTCACCTTCTTCACTGATGCGTCACCACCATAACATCTAACCAGTGTGTCCCACGCAGCCTTTGCTGTCGTTGAATCTGCAATCTTCTCAAACACATTTACATCAACACATTGATGAATAAAGAATAATGTTTTCTGATCCTTCTTCCTTACTTCCTTCTGCGCGTTTTTCTGTTCATCTGTTGCATCTGCTGCTACCGGAACATAACCATCAGTGACAAGATCCAGAACATCTTGAGCACCAAACAGTACACGCATTTGGATCATCCAACGATTCCAATTTTTACCGTCAAATACTGGAAGTTTGGTGTTCATGTTGCCGTTTTCGTTCATCTTCTACTTTGCACAATACACTCAGAGTTTTCTCACACAGTGTTTTCCAACCCATAGAATTAAAAAATTCTGATCAGATTTTGTTCAAGATTCAACAAGAATCTGAGAAACAAAATCAAACACACAAGACCTCACGTTCACTCGTGTTTCCCGTGTTTCCCAATGAATCTGAACCGGAGCTCTAGATACCAATTTGTTGGTGCAAAGATAGAATAAATGATGAAATAGGGAAATATTCTATTAAAGAGAATGACGGCTACAAAACATGATATATGGTTACAATGATTGTCACCCTATTTATAAGCTAAAACTAGGGTTACTAGAATAAGATAAAATACTAAAATACCCTCTAACAAACTTAGGAGATAAGAAAATAGTACAACTAAATAAATATGAATTACTATTAATATTCTAATAACTAACAATATACTAATAAACTATACAGTTCAAATGATGTGTTACTGTTACTAGAAGCTAGGGTTTATGAAGAAGCTCAATGACAAAAAAAAAACACATAAATTGAAATTAAAAAAGAATTAAGATAACATGATTATTAGGATTAGATCAAAATAATTACAACTCTCTCTCTCTCTCTATATATATATATATAATTGACGTGAAAAATAAAACAATTAGAAAAGCAATTAAAAGAATTGCTATTATTTAATGTCAATTTTAATTCATTAGTTTTATATATTGTATTGCAATTGAAAAGGATTTATAGATTGTATCATAACCCTTCTAAAATATTGAAAATGAAATTTGGACACAGTATCACAATTGAACACAATATCCTAATTGAACATCACAATATGAAAGCCAATATCAATTAGTGGACAATAAATTATTATCTACAGTATCGCGATTGAATAATTTATTATATAATTTTAACTATCAATATCAACAAAATTGTAACTCACGATTATCTTAAATTATAATTATATATTAACAATTAATTGAGTCCTAATTCATATAATTAAACTCTAATATCAAATGTAAGCGAAAAAATTTATCTATCGATTATATGAAATTAGATTATCAATACTTACTTGTTGAAGTCATAATTCAAAATTTCGAAAAGATAAATGACCGGATCTTCCTCTGTATCTCACACTCTCGTTCACAACTCTCAATGAGGCAAATTGTGAAGCCGTCAGTTATGTTTCTGATTCTTATTGTGATTACGAAAATTTTACCTCATACCCCTACAATTATACCCATACCCCTACATTAACATTTTTTGGACCAAAATACTCTCGTATAAAAATTTATAATTTTTTTCATTTGTTCACCGGAAGACTTTTTGCAAGTCTTCTGGTTCATATTTTTTTCTTTTGTTCACCGGAAGACTTTTTGAAAGTCTTCCGGTTCACATTTTTTTTTTCGTTTGTTCACCGGAAGACTTTTTGCAAGTCTTCCGATTCGTATTTTTTTCGTTTGTTCACTGGAAGACTTTTTGGAAGTCTTTCGGTTCATGCTTTTTTATTTTAAATTTTTAATATTGTCAATTATAATTTTTTTTATTTACTATCCTATCATATAATTTATTAAAAATTAAAATTAACATTTATATAATATTGTCAAATATTATAATATTTTTAATCATCTTAACGTTGGTTTTTTAATTCTATTCATGAATTCAAATCAAAAGTAGAATATATAATATACAATTATAGTTCTTAGTCATTTAATTTTATTTAATCCAGTATCAAAGAATTATTTTAAGTTTCTGGATTCAAACATTGACTGAAACATATATTAATCATTCTTTAAATTATCAGTATTTGAAAACTATATATTTAAGAAAAAAATCTGAATTCATTGAACAAGCAAAAAATGAATTGATGTCCAATAATAAATTTTTTAATATAAAATAAATGATGGAGGAAAAAACAAACACATAATGTCAATAATTTATTTTAAAATTTAATAGTTCAAATTCATTCTTATTTTATTACATAAAAATAACTATTATATATATATATATATATATATATATATATATTTATATATATATATATATATATATATATATATATATATATATATATATATAATAATAATAAACTTAATAATATTGATAATAATAATAATATAGTCCCAACAAGGAAATAATGAAAAAGGTTATGATCTATTTGTTTTTTACTCACTTGTCTCAACTATTTTATTAATAATACTTTTATTCTAATTTAAATTATCAGTATATGAAAACTATATATTTAAGGCAAAAATCTGAATTTATTGAGTAAGAAAAAAATGAATTGATGTTCAATAATGAATTTTTAATATAAAATAAAAGATGAATGAGAGAGAGAAAAATGACACATAATGTCAATAATTTATTTTAAAATTTAAAAATTAAAAAAAAACATGAATAGGAAGACTTCCAGAAACTCTTCCGGTAAACAAACGAAAAAAATATGAACCAAACGAAAAAAATATGAATCAAACGAAAAAAAATGTGAACCGGAAGACTTCCAAAAAGTCTTCCGGTGAACAAAAGAAAAAATATGAACCGGAAGACTTGCAAAAAGTCTTTCAGTGAACAAATAAAAAAAATTATAAATTTTTATACGAGAATATTTTGGTCCAAAAAATATTAACGTAGGGGTATGAGTATAATTGTAGGAGTATGGGGTAAAATTTCTTGTGATTAGAGAGGGAGCCTAGCCATATAATATATATAACCTTAGTCTCTACCCATTATGAGCTCAAGGTTAAAACCCACACTTTTATCCACATCAATCAGGTTTCAGATACTCAGCTTTTAGTTATAAAAAAAATCACTTAACTAATAATGGAGCTTATATATACACCCTCATCAGAATCACGATTAATCTGTTTTTCACAAACTAAACAACAATTGATTATAACCCATAAAAAGTTAAATAAATCAAACATAAATAATTTTATTGATTTAAATGGGTTCATAGTTCATACTATTTTAATGCTTTTATGACAACTTATTATGTTTAATACTAAAAGAAAGATAAGCACATGTTATACATTCATCCTTAATTTTTCACTCTTATTGATTTTGAATAAACTTTGTTGAACATATTGTTTGTGGAGTGCATTAAGATTTATGGTCTATATCCTCTAAGAAGATTTAGAATATATATATATATATATATATATATATATATATATATATATATATATATATATATATATATATATATATATATATATATATATATATATATATATATATATATATATATATATATATATAATCATGATATCCAATCTTGCGATTTTATTTCAATATTTAGTCCATCACATAAATCGTTTATATTCAGCGGAACCATTTGATAGTTGGAGCAAACTATACTGCACAATTTTGAGAATGTAATTAAGTGTTTATTTGAAAACTAATAAAGAACAAAACAGCTGTATTAGTAAAGAGATGTTAACGAGATTAAAGCTTTATGATGTAAACTTAAAGTAGAAGCACTTAATATTTTACATTAATTCCGAACATACCAACTCCCTATCTTATTGGATGTTCTTCTTAAAGTAAAAAATAAAAAGCACTAAAACATTGACAAGACCAGAGGTTATCCTTGAGCATTATTACAGCTGGTTCACACTAACTAGAACCATGCTATACAAAGATTATTAATTAGACTATATTAAAACAAGTGGCAACACACACAAAATCATAATATGAACAAAAACCAAAATATTAATTTAGAAAAAAGAATCCTAATTAGTAATTAGCATAGTGAGAAAAATAAGGGTCATCACTCTTTGGGAATAACACACTTTCTTCATCCATCACCCATAGTGAGTTTGAGGAATTATACTCCCATGATATGTTATTTTTATTATTAGCATTATCATTGCAAAATTCTTCATTCTGAAGAACACTATTCTCTTCTGATATATCAATGTCTTTCCATATATCATCCATTGAAATCTCTTCTTGTTCATGCTGTTTAACTTGTGTTGATCCTCCTGTGTCATAAAAGCTTGTTTCTTCTGCATCTTTTGAAACATGATGTTCTATAGATGGAGCTGACGAGTTTCTCTTTTTGTCCTGAGCTTTCTTCCTCATGTGAGTTCTCCAGTAATTCTTTATCTCATTATCCGTTCGTCCAGGTAACTTTCGAGCAATTCTCGACCACCTACATAAGTAAAACATATATGTATCAGTATTATACCCTGACACGTGACACGTTCAGTCAGATATCAGATATCAGACATCAGACACATCTGTACCTATTTCCCCATTTGGATTGAAGTTCAAGGACAAGACGTTCTTCATGAGGAGTCATTTTACCACGTTTGAGACCAGGATGAAGATAGTTAACCCATCTTAACCTACAACTCTTACCAGTTCTATTCAAACCTAGGACAAAAAAATAAGGTGGTTAATCTTAAAAGGTTGCTTAATACATAATCAAACATGTCCAAAATAAGCATTACCTATAGGTTAGTGTCTCCCTCCACCTTCAAACCTGATACCTTAGCAATAAAGTCCCATCTTCTGTCTCCAAATAATCCAACAAAAGACACCAATTTGAAGTCTTCTTGTTCTGTCCATGGTCCTTTTCGTACTTCCTCAGATTGAACCATTTTTCTTCTTCAACTTCTTCAATGGTTTCTTTTTCTTTTTGTGCTTGAGTACTTGCCAAACCTAGGTGTGAAGTGCTGCTATTTATATATGGAGTTCTAGTGTTTTAAATGTTGAGAAAAAACATAATAATAAGTGACTTTGCATATCAACCGTACAAGTGCTACACACGCTTATTCAATTTTAATCAATTGCTATGGGACAATTCTCCAAGACAATGACATCCATTACAATTCTATTCATGGAAATATAATCATGGCAGTTGAAAATTTAAATTTATGGAGAAAAATTAACTCAAAAGGGTGTTCAAGTTTAAATGGATTCAAATAATAATAATAAATTAGTCTAAAAAAATAAAATAATATTGAATGTATTTAACATCACACTATATATAAATTATTAGATTAATTTTTAATGTGAAGAGTGACTAAAAGCACAATAAAGATAAATTATTAGATTAATTTGAAAAAAGTGATTCCATATCTTTCCTCTTACCTAAAGCGTTTTTACTTGTACCCATACCCACTACTTAATTATGGGGTGATTATTTTTCTTGAGATGAGAACTTTATGGAACAAAGTAATTAGTACACTGAATTGGTACAATTAGTTAGTACAAAGTATACACTAGACTTTATTATAGTTGTTTTTATTGCCATCACACATTTATCTAATGAGTTATTGGTAATGTTTAACTTAAGATTTTAAAGATGGAAAGAAATTTCACTTTCTTTGAGTGAGTGATATTGTAGATAATAATGAAAAGTGTGTTTATAATAAGTATTTTTTTTTTTTAATTTTAAAGTATTATGGATTTTAGTTATATTTTTCAAGTTTTTATGAAACAATATTGAATTGTACATTTTGATGGAATCTTACGTCCCTTGAGTTCAAGAGGGGCCATTGAAGAAAACAAGAGACAAATATGGAAGATGACAAAAGTTTGAAGAAATCGTTGAAGTGGTTTACAGGCACATTGATTTATTTCAAAAATATAATAATGATGTAAATGGAGAGAGAGAATTGATAGATTAGTCCATGAAATGAAACTATATTGTTTGATAAATATAGCATTTAGGTACCACTAATAGTGTGGTACGTAATATGTTGGAACTCTAGGTTTTTAAAATAGTAGAATACTCCAAGTTGGTGTATGTGCCTTCCACATAAAGAAGGTAGGGTACATATCAATACTAAAATTAAAGGGAAAAAGTTCCACTTCAATTGTATACCTTTTTGTTTGCAAATAGTTTCTCGCGTACTTTCATGCACATCATTGTATAAGTGATATTAAAATGAAAAAATTATGGGTATCTAAGATGAATCTAATGCTTTAAAAATAATGTATTTTAAAAATCGGACAAAATATGGAGAAGGACCTAGAGAATGCTGAGTCAGTAATTCAAGTGTGTAAGGGCCCATATAGAATACAAGAGAAGAATTCTGTTGTGAGTGATCCGGAAATTCAGGAAAGCCGTAGAAGTACTAGATTGCGCAAGACCAATACTCAATTGAAGAACTTCATTACTGTAGGTATAAAATAGAATGATAAGGAAACTAGGGTTTATTATGTGCGAATTGTGAGGTATCTCTCTCACTCTAATACTTTCTCTGTATTCACATATTTTGTATTACCAAATCCCTCTACTTGGTAGAGGTTGATACTGATTTAATCAAACTTTCCCTTATTTTCTCTCTAGCATTATTTCTACCATTTCATTGGTGCTTTCATCTCACCATGGTAGAAAACACCAGGATGAAAGAGCTATCAGCCGAAGTGAAGAAAAATGCAGAGGACATCAAGAAGTTGTATGATGAAGTTCAGATCCAATTCGAGCGTTTCGGTGCAGCGAGTGAAACTCGTTTTCAACAGATGGAGGAACTACAATCATCAACTGATGGGAAACTAGATCAGATCAGCGAAGCTCTTTCATTGCTCTTACGCAACTCTCCTCATAATTCTTCCCATGGTGCTGCGAACTCAACCAAAGCTCCGTTTCAGGTAAGAAATATTAAGCTTGACTTCCCCCGTTTTGATGGAAAAAATGTGATGGAATGGATTTTTAGAGCTGAGCAGTTTTTTTTGATTATTACGAAACCCTCGATAAGGATCGATTGACTATCACATCTGTTCATCTGGACCAAGACGTGGTTCCTTGGTTTCAAATGATTCAGAGAACACATCCTTTTAATTCCTGGGTCGAATTCACTAGAGCTCTAGAATTGGATTTTGGACCTTCAATCTACGATTGTCCCCGAGCTTAATCAAACTGGAACTGTGAGTGATTATTACCTGCAGTTTACAACGTTAGCAAACAGGGTCTATGGGTTAAGCACTGATGCTCTTGTTGACTGCTTTATCAATGGCTTAACTAATGAGATTAGGAGAGATGTGATGATTCACACTCCTATCACCATTGTGAAAGTTGTGTCCCTAGCCAAAGTTTATGAAGAAAAATACAATTCCGCCACCAAACTACAAAAAACCCATAACCAACACACACAATACCAAAATAGAACTCTCTTCAATTCAAATAAAACAGACTTCACCCAAAAACCTAATAACCCACCATTACTTCAAACACCACCCACAAGACCAATGAACCCTAACCAAAAGAATCCAAACATCAGAAGAATTACCCCGACTGAGATGCAATTGAGAAAAGAGAAGGGACTATGTTATTGGTGCGATGAGAAATTCTCATTTAGCCATAAATGTCCAAACAAACACTTGATGTTGCTGCAATATGAACCAGAACCTGAAGATAAAATTGAGGAGGAGCTAGAGCCACCGGACCACACACAAAACACAGTAAAACAAACAGAAACTGAACATCACCTATCCCTAAATGCTTTGAAAGGGGCTAACAGTCTAGGGACAATGCGTTTTATGGGAAAAATTGGCAAACTCCAAGTGCAAATACTTATTGATGGGGGTAGCTATGATAACTTTGTGCAACCGAGAATCGCTCATTTCCTAAAACTACCAGTGGAACCAGCACCATGCTTTAAGGTGTTGGTGGGAAACGGACAAACTATGACAGCAAAGGGGGTAGTGAATAAATTGCCAGTGGTCATTCAAGATCACGAGATGCTTATTCCTGTGTACCTATTACCCATAGCAGGAGCAGACTTGATTCTTGGCACAACTTGGTTGGCTACTTTAGGCCCCATGTGTCAGATTACTCGGCTTTGACCTTAAAATATTTCCATAAGAGAAAATTCATTACATTGCAAGGTGACACAAGTATGGGACCCGGGCAAGCTCAGTTACATCAGCTGAGAAGAATGCAGAACACTAGAAGTATTGATGAAGTATTCACTATATAGAGAGTACAAGCTGGTGAAAGTAATGTCATGTGGGATGAGATGCCAGCTAACATATCACCTGAAGTGGCTGTGCTTTTATACACCTACAGAGGAATTTTCAAGACACCAGAAGGTCTACCACCCCAAAGACCTCAGAACCATGTTATTCCCTTGAAAGAAGGCTCAAACTCGGTCAAAGTAAAGCCATATAGGTACCCTCACAGTCAGAAGGAATAGATAGAAAAGATGGTAAAATAAATGTTGGGTCAAGGAATCATTCAGCCTAGTAATAGCCCATTCTCATCTCCTATTGTCTTAGTGAAAAAGAAGGATGGGAGTTGGAGATTTTGCACAGATTATCGAGCCTTGAACGCTATTACAGTGAAGGATAGTTTTCTTATGCCTACTGTAGACGAGTTGCTAGACGAATTATGTGGTGCTAAGTATTTTTCAAAGTTGGATTTAAGATCGGGTTATCACCAAATATTGATCCAACCAGAGGATAGACACAAGACTGCTTTTAGAACCCACCATGGTCATTATGAATGGCTAGTCATGCCATTTGGATTAACCAACGCACCAGCTACCTTCCAATGCCTCATGAATCAGATTTTTCAACATGCCCTGAGGAAATATGGGTTGGTCTTTTTTGATGACATTCTTGTGTATATCACTACTTGGAAGGAACACATCACACACCTGCAAACTGTTTTACATGTATTAGAGCAAAATACCTTATATGTGAAACTATCAAAATGTGCTTTTGGGGTGGAAGAGATAGAATATTTGGGACATGTGGTGTCAGGCAAATGTGTAGCAATACCAAGTGGCCAAGACCTATAAATTTGAAACAGTTAAGAGGCTTTTTAGGTCTGACCGACTACTATAGAAGATTCATAAAGTCATATGCTAAGATAGCAGCACCCTTAACATGCTTGTTAAGAAAAGATACTTTTTGTTGGAATGAAACAACACAACAAGCTTTTGAAGAGCTGCAACGAGCTGTCACTTCTGCACTAGTGCTAGCTCTACCAAATTTTCATCATACTTTTATTCTGGAAACTGATGCTTCAGGAATTGGAGTGGGGGTAGTCCTTCATCAAAATGGTCATCGAATTGCATTTTTCTCAAAGAAGTTAGCACCAAGAAACCAGAAAAAATCAGCTTACTTTAGGGAAATGTTGGCAATATCTGAAGCTATTTCTAAGTTCAGACACTACTTGTTAGGGAGCAAGTTTATCATTAGAACTGATCAGAAGAGTTTGAGAAGCTTAATGGATCAAAGCCTACAGACACCTGAACAACAAGAGTGGTTGCATAAATTCCTGGGGTATGATTTTGTCATAGAATATAAGTCGGGTAAGGAAAATATAGCTGCAGATTCCTTGTCCAGAATGTTTTTGATGTCATGGTCTGAGCCAAAAACACAATTTGTGCAACAATTGCTAGAAGAAGTGAGCAATAATGACAAACTGCAAGAGCTCATAACGCAGTGCAAAAATCAACCACAACTGAAGCCTCATTACACCACCAAAGGGGGACTACTTTATAGGAAAGGTAGGGTGGTTATACCTGATAACTCTGAACTGATTCAAATGATTTTGAAGGAGAATCATACTTCTCCTATAGGGGGACATTCAGGAAATTCTAGAACCATGGCTAGAATTGCTTACCAATATTTTTGGCATAACATG